TCTGACTAATAAATCCTAGCCCAGTGATCACCTGGAAGGTAAGAAGGCTGTCTGAGGTTGCAGGAAGGTGGCCTCTGTAAAGTCGGGGGCCACGCCACTGGAGGAGCCAAGGTAGGACAGCTTGCTCATGTGTGGGCTGGCCACAGGGGTCCCCAAAGTCCACTTTCTTACCATACCTGGGCCTGTGAGAGTACAGAAATCAGAGAATTCCACCCATGCCTGGAACATTCAAAATAATGAGATTAACAAGGAATATGGATTTCCACTTATTTTCTCTTCTCAATGGAAAGAAAGCAAAAGAAAACCGGGAAGCCCCCGTTAGTCTCCTCCCACCCTGTATAGGACACATCGGTACACCAATAAAGATCTGAACAAGAAACGGGTCCTTGAATGCACCCCCAGAGAAGCCAGCTGCAGGCCTTTGAAGGTGGGAGAGGGAGAGAAGTATTTTGCTAAAATACTAATTTAGAGAACAAATCAACATTCATTATGCCCTTCATTATGTTTTAAGATTGCACAACTATAAATCACTGGGCTGCGGGTTATTCAAGGGCAGAGTTACCCCGCTTGGCTCTGTGGAAGGTTAGAAGAATGCTATGTTGTCCTTTCTCTGCTTATAATTTATAACTCTGCAATGGGACCCAGCGTTTGCAGGTCCATCCATTAGCCACACATCTGTTAAGGTGAGCTACAATGGCTGCCTTTTCATGGCCACAGGAAGAGAAACCCAATACTTTCAGAAGATCTACAAACCCGAGCCATTTTTTAAAAATGTGAACTGATTTGAAAACACAGTTCCGTAAAACATCTGCTAAGCTCTTGTTACCCTAACACATGATATTCTTTCCGACAGTTACCTGCCAACACAAATATTTGGTTGCTCCAAACACCCTTCCAGGCACGTGACTGTGCTCAACTTGAAATTTACATGCCGAGCCTCAGAGGGTTGGCTTGGCCCTGAGACCTCTGGCAAGGATGTTGTTTACCAGAGTTCAAAACTAATGTGGAAAAAAAGAGGGGAGGGGGCCAAGAAGGTGCTGTCAAGTGTTTTAAAGAGGAAACGCAGCGACACAATCAGACACACATGGCATGGGCACTACCAATGTGTTTGAGCAAGGAAATGGAGCAGGGAGGAGTTGGCGACGGTTCCGGGGGATGGGAGGGGGGGATGACACTTTCTTGAGCAGGCTGGGAAAGCTCTTGGCACTTTTCTTGGGCCAGACAAAGGTCATTCTTTACGCAGCAAAAGTGTTGCGAGGGAAACGTGAACACGCCAACACCGGAAGCATCGTGATGCTGGGTGTGAGCCACCAACGTGCCCCTTAGCTGGAAGTATGATGAGGACTGCAAAGCCCCCAAACAAGGCAGCACACACCAACAGCCAAAACCACCCCGGGAAAATCTTTTGTGTTATTAGCTAGCAGCACAGGTCAGGTTATATGAATGATGCCATGAATTAATATGCACGTGTAACTATACCATGCATGTTAACATATGGCACGTGCATTAACACACATAGGTAAAACACAACTTAGAGACGGAGACTTCGACCCGAAGTGCTCACATGATACGAATTCATCATGTGAACACTCAGCAAGCTTTGGTTTCCTTTAACACATTTCAGAGACTGCTACTGGAAAAAAAAAAAAATCTTGGCTTAAACAGCATTTCAAACAGCATATTTCCATTTTGCTCTTTCTTTCTTTTTATTTTATTATAAATTCGAGGGAAGAGGAGTAAGTTGTGTCTCAGAACCCCTAAGACACAAGTCCCCTGGCCCTCCAGAGGAAGTTGGCGGCAGAGACGTGACTTTGCCAGTAGGGGGCGATGTGCCAAGAAGTAGTCCCCGTGAGTTTCTCATTAGTGATTATTATACTGCAGGAGGCCCAAATGCAAAAATTAATTAATTTCAAAGTGATAATGCATTTACAGCAACAATTAGAAACGTATAACTGTAAAAGGGCAACATTTAAAAGACATATTACATTTAATAAAGTTGCATGAGAGCATCCAATTGTAAAATTACTGATCTGCAACAATAGTCCTTAAAGAGCCACTTAAAATAGCCCGACTCCATGAAGGGTGACCTAATTACGGTAACTAAAATCACCATAGTCACAGCGAGTCACAGCAAATAAAGAAGGGACGTTGATATTAAAACACTGCTGTTCAATGCTTACGGGAGCTGCCTGCATGGAAAAGGGGAGGCTGGGCTTCCGAGTGCCGGGCAGGGTAGTATTTCTTCTTTGCTAGGCCTTGTACAAAGGAGAGTAGACTCAAGCAATATCCATGTTACAGGGAAATGCTTTCAGCAAGGTGAAATGGAGCAGGGACTTTGAAGTGCAAATAGAACCCTCGAGAGTTATCTTGGCCCTAAGCTGCTGGACTGGCATTTGGGAATCCGCCATGGTCTGTGTCTCAAAATACAGCCTCATGAAAATGACAGAAGTGCATCCGTTGTCCAAGGAACAAATGCCTCATCGCTATGGAAGCAACGAGCTGGTGTACGAGGAAGAGAGCGTGAAAGAGCAACCTTTGTGGTCAGTCAGATCTGTCCTGCTGGGGAACGTGATCGCTCCTGCTGCTTCCTCTTTGTCTGGCTGCAGACCTAAATATTTGCAGTGGAGCAGAGACTGGACGGTGAGTTCGACAAGCAAGTGCTGGGTGTGTCCTTCTGAGCTCCCTCCTCCTGAAACTTCCTCCTCCTGAGCTTTCTCTTCCCTCCTCCTAAAACTCCATACTGATCTCCCTCCTCCCCTTCTTGAGCTCTATCCTCCAGAAGAACAGGCAGCCCAATGCCAAAGCGTTGCCAGCCACCTACTCGGGTCACTATTGTCCTAGACAACCTAAACACGATTGCATGTTCCAGAGCCTTGTTAATCTCGACACCTAGGCTTGCACACCTAGCACTGGGCAGGCCAGCCAGGGCTACGTAGTGAGATCCTGTCTCAGAAACACCTGAACACACGCAAAGAAAGGAAATCACCAACAACAGCTAAAGTACACTTCACATTTCAGGTGCTAGTTCCTAATCAGGAGGAAGTATGATCGTGGAAAGCCCAGCCACTGTGACTTCCTCGACACCAGAAAGGTGGCCTGACCCCACCACCCCAGGGCCTCCTATTCAATCTTCCTGTCTTATTTTTGGACTGATTGAGAGAGGGACAGAACCATCAAAACTCCCCCTCTACCCACCACCAAGCTCCCCACATATTATAACTAAAAATCACTAAGGTCACAGCACGTAGAATTATTTGGTTCATTATCATTTTTAGCCCGTGACCCTTGTTATATCTGTCATCCACAACTGAGGTACAGAAAAGAACTCCCTAGACACAAGTACTGCCCATAGAAGCAATGACGTCAGTGACACATGCTGAATAGGACATGGTCACCACGAGACACCTGTGACGATTTAAACTGAAACTGAGCAGAATTCAGAATTTCCTCGGAGGTATAGCGCAGCAGGATCAGATGTTGGAGAAAACCTCCCCAAGCTGTTCTGATGCTCAGCGAATACACTGGGTCTTGATCGGGAGAAATGTCAAGAAGAGCCAGTTGATGATTGGGGAGGAGGTTCCCCCCCCATCAGTGGACTTGGAAAGGGGCACGGTGGAGATGAGGGAGGGTGGGTGGGATTGGGAGAGAACGAGGGAGCGGGATACCGCTGGGTTACAGAGTTAATAAACTGTAACTGATAAGAAAAAAATAAAATAAAATAAAAAAGAAAAGAAGAGCCAGTTGTTCTACTGTGCCAGGTGGCAGCTTGCTGCCCTTACCACCACCAGAGGGATAGCTAGTCTTCAGATACATCCAAAGACCCAAACGTGTGTGTTGGGAGGAAAAGAATAATTCCTATCATTGAAAAACAGCATCAGTAACTGAACCGTGGCTCTATCCATTCAAAGGAAAATGCTTTTATTACTTACCCCACGTGTGTGTGCGTGGAACAGTCTTGTGACTGTTGGTGGTGCACGCACGTCAGAAGTAGATTTTGCTTCTCCCTTTAATGCTCTACTCCTATTTGTGACTTGCTTACTTTCTTAGAGACAGGCTTCTCACTGCACCTGGAACCTCAGGCCCCGAGATCCACACATCTGACACTAACACTGGGGTGACAGATGCACAGAGCCGCTCCCAGCTTTCACCTGTCTGCCGGGGAGCTGAATCTAGTTCTTAATACGTACACAGAACGCGCTTACTCCACTACGTCTCTCCTTGTCCTTAGCAGAAACATTTTTTCAAAGCCTGAGGCTCAGAAAAGGAACTGGCCAAATATTCTGTGTACCGCGCACCCTCTTCATTCAAGTCACTTTGGGTTAATGAATGCGCAGAAGGGGTTTTTACATACCATTGATAAACAACCGACAAAAACATAAAATCTTCATATTTAGCTTTGTGAACACTTCAGTTCTAACCACAGCAGTGTGATTCATCCAAGATATTTGTCTTCAGAGATAGGAAGGAGAAACCACACTCTAGCCACAAAGCCTTTTCCAGGAAAGAGCTGCAGCAGGACCTCCATTCTAGAAGCATCTAGAACATCCAATACAAAAATCTCACTGAACCCAGAGCCATACCTACTAACACTCTCTAATCCACATTTTCAGCCAACACAAGGCACACACATCAAGTTCTGTTTTCCACAGAGTAGGCTTTAGAAGTTTGTGAATCGAAGCAGAAATCACATTGAGACAAAACAAACCATTGTTGCGCTCCCCTCCCCCAAACCCCCAGAATTTTCAGGTGTCCTCCACAGAACACTGACAACCAACATCTCTTCTCCAAGCTAAGAGCAACAGACCCAATCTCAACGTGACGGATGTGTTGGACAGCCTTTTGCCAATGAGTGAACAGGCCAGACGCTGTTACACTCAAAAGCAGGCCCATGGCAAGCAGTGACAGGGAGACTACAGGTAGACAACCAGGTCTAGATTTCCAGGCCCAGCAGTGAAACAGACTGAAGGCATGTTGGGAGGTGCCAGAAGGCACCCACTTACCATGGACTTGGTGAATGGCCGGGCCAAGGTGAACAGCAGCGTGTACACCCACGAGCTGCGATGAATGGATGAGAACATCATGTTCCCAGGGTGCACTGCATTGGATGTAACCCCGCGTGGGGAGAGGCGGCGGTGCAGCTCGCTGGAGAAGAGGAGGTTGCAGAGTTTGGATCTGTTATAAGCCAGCATAGCCCAGTAGTCACTCTTTGATGGAGACAGATAGCTGAGGTCTAGTTTCCTGGAGGAATTGTTAATATCCGTAAATCTGAAAAACAGAAAGCATGACGTAGCACACTGAAGATGCGGGTTCCCGAAGGGCTTTGGATTTTGACCTGAGATCTCAGCAAACATCGAAGATTTATTGTTCCTCCCAATCGTGGCCCTCAAAGGAAGAAGATGGTGGCTTAGCACACTGCCAATTGATCTGATCCAAAGAGGAAAGGTAAGCACCTACAAGTGCAGCAGGCCAAATAAAACCAAGGTCCTCTGTGCCTCCAAACACACCCATTTCAACCTGCAGTAGCAACACACAGAAAGCTCGGGCAGGAGAATCACCCTGAGCTTGGGGCTAGCCTGGACGTGGTGAATTCCATACTGGGCTGTTTTAATGTAAGATCTGAACTCAAAAGTCAAAAAATATTCTGTGTGTGTATGTGTGTGTGTGTGTGTGTGTGTGTGTGTGTGTGTGTGTGTGTGCACTCCCTAAGATCTTCAACCACAAGTTCAAGGATAATTAAATGGAAACAAGCTTTAGATAAAAGGTGGCTACATTAGAAAAGTGATATCACATTCCCAACCTTTGGCAGGGTTTTCCTAGATTATTTTAGCTGAATGCATGAGTTCTGTATATTTTCATCTGAGCCTCCAAGTTAATACAGACGAGCTGTCTTGCCTCCAAAACTCTTTTCCAGATTAAAAATTAACGACCATAAAAGGGTTGTAACCTTGGTGGGGTGCCATGAAAACTCTTTTACATTTAAAAAACTAAATGTAAACAAAGCTAAAACCAAGTTCTGGCTGACTCTACTGTTTTTAAGAATGGGCATGGCATGGGCACGCACAAATCAAAGTAACTAGTTGATGTTTTAAAATAGAGTCTGACGGAGCCGTTAAACGTCAGCTGTTTGCTTCCTTTATACCTGCCTTGCTCTTTCTTTGTCAAAGAAAAAGGAACAAATGACTGCCTTACAGAAATGGATCATAAGAAACAACCAAAAAGAATGTTTTGGGTAGTAGCAGATGTGTTTGAGGACTCTCTATACTTGGCTTCATCATGCTAACTTTGGATATCGTATAGTATCTTCATTAGGCTTAATACTGCTGTGATCAAGCACCATGACCCAAAGGAAAAGGTTTTATTCAGCTTATGCTTCCACGTCACTGTCCATCACTGAAACAAGTCAAACAGTGCAGGAACCTGGAGGCCCGAGCTGATGCCGAGGTCACGGAGGGGTACGGCTAACTGGCTTGCTCCACATGGCTTGCTCAGGCTACTTTGTTATAGAACCCAGGACCACTTCAAGAGGGAAGAACCGGGGCATACTGAATAATGCAAAACCAAACTCCAGCAGTATAAATAAGCCAATGGGGAATATCCGGGATTCTCGCCTATCTTCCGGGCTCCTCCACACAGTGTGGGTCACTTCTCTGACCGTCCTCGGTAGCACACACAGTTTGTCTTGTAGGCGCCTGCTAGGCTAGTTCCACTCCACTGCTGCTGCTGCTGCTCTTCGTGGTCATTCCGTGGTAACGGCATCTCCAAAACTGCTGGGAACATCTGCGGCAATGGGGCTGCACTTTCACCAACAGCCTCTCCTGGCTCTCTTCATAGTGCCGAGCCTCAACTTCCCCGCACAACCCCTTCAGTCCCGGCCTCCAACAGCTGCGGTGGCTTCACCTTCAACAAGGGCCTCCCCTCGCCTCTCACGGTACCAGATCTCAGCTGCTCTCCATGATGCTTCCATGCCTTCAAAACGTGTACAACTTGGGGTACTCTTACACTACCGAGTTCAGCTGCCGGCGTGATGTAACACAACTTCCAAGTGTGCTGACTCTCATGAACACTTCTAGAAGGCCACACTTCAGTGACTCAGGGCTCTTCTTAATCACCGTCCAGTTCCCTGCTCCGGCTGACCAGCATCAATTGTCCCAGTAATGCAAAGGTTTCAGTTCAACGGTTTTGGCCCCTTGTTAATTACAGCTGACCCTACAGCTCCAGCTGATCAGAATCGCAGTATCTTAATTCAAAATAGAAAACATGCCCCAGCCACAATCTTTAAGTAACTCCCAGCATGGGGCAGGGAAGGCAGGAATCGTGATCCACGAGTACCCCATGGACACTCAGACAGATGCGAAGCTTGGGTGGAATTCAGTCTCCAGCTTCTGCTTCATGTACGTGCATAGTCTTAACATCTACAGAGCCTTCAATCCCATGCAACAACTATGAAAATGAGGAACAAATGCACCCCTGGGTGTCCTAGGGTTCAGGAGTGTTAGGACTGATTCAATATTAGTGGCACTGGAATCTGGGCCTACCTGTCAACAGTCTTTGTGGGGGTGGTTTATACAGGACACATACATTCAATTATCTTCTCCTTAGTCCTGCCCAAATGGTTCAAGGATGGAACTCATGCTACTTTGTTTCCGGTTTATGGTTTCTTTACATTGGTCTTACAACATTATACTGAACTAAAAAATATGTTTGTGTAGGGGAAGTGATAGTATTTTCAAGTGGATTTCAACATAGTAATAAGGTGTTACAGAAGGGGGCTGTCACATAAAGGGGCTCCTGAGTTCCAAATCTGGGGATCGAAGGTCTGAGACATGAGTTGGAAGTGCTACTGCTGAGAGTGGAAAAGGGTACTGAGCATATATGAACATCTGAAAGGTGTGGAAGAAATATTACCCTTCACTGGTCCCCTCAACGCTTCCTTATCTTCTTGCTCCTAGAAAATCTCCCCATCAAAAGCATTCACATGAACCCAGCCTGGGGACACTTCTTCCAGGAAGCTCTCCCAGCTTGAGGTCACAGTGATTTCTTGGTGGTAAAGAGGTATAGACTGAAAGAAGCTATGCAAAGAGATTGAGATATCTGTTTCCGTAGTAACTCAGCATCCACTATGCAGGACCAATTCTATGAAATCACTTCCAGTGTTTGGTGACAGCATCGTCCTCCAGGACCGGTAGCAGAGCTAGCAACACATCATTGTGTCCTGCCTGTCCGTGGCCCCTCTGTCATTCACACTGACTGCCAGGAATTTGTCCACTTGTTCTGAAGGCTAGGCTGGGAGCTCGTGGTGAGCGGACAGTGCCAGGATTATGATGGAAACCCAATCTAGGATCTGACAACCGAAGGCTGGTCATGAGGCCAGAACTCAGAGAACACTGACCATGAGGATCACCCTCTCAGTGTTCTCCATTACACAACTGCGGGCTGTGTCCCCTGCTATTACGATGGGCTCCCGACTTCATGGCTGGGGAACACTGAGAAGATTACACTTACTTATGTCATCTGCTGTTTCTTTAGTGCAGCAGAGGAATCTCTGGGCCCCACTGACCCCAGACTCCTGAAGGCCTCACTAGTTTATGCTGCTGCTTCTTAAGTGGGCACATTTCTGGTCCATCCTCACAGAAGTGAGTGAGGGTCCGGGAATGGGACCCGTCGGTCTGAGTGCTCAAGATGCAGCGAAGCAGCTCTTGGAGGCCAACTGCTCTGTCTTTAAGTTGAGAGTCTGGCGAAGCCAAGGTCTGAGGGGTGTCGCTGTTGTCCACTGAGAGGCAGCCTGGCACCTGCTCTCCAGACACTGACTGGAGGCCCAGGTGAGTCTCTGTTTAAGCCAGGACGATTTTTCATTCCAAAAGTGAAATAATGATCATGGACTCGCGCGGAGCATAGTTAGTGTGTTCAAAAATGGTGCATGGGAAATTCTGCGTGGCTGTTTGTGATGCGTGCCTCTGTGTGTGGCTGTGTGGCTGCACATTCATGATGGGGTGATTTTTTTTCTTTATGATTTCGTGTGGGTTTGTGTGACTGGGGCGTATGTCTGCCTGCGATGCTGAGTGGTTTCCTGTAGTTGGGTGTGTGATTGTGTATATGAGACTGTGTGTGATTGTGTGTGTGGTTGCATGTACGTATCGTACGTGTGTGACTGTCTCTGACTGTACCTGTCATTCTGTCACTTCATACTGCTAAGTCTGTTTAGAGCTGTGCAGCCAGCACTCTGCTCTTTTCATTCTATTTTAATTGTTATCTGAGTAATTTTCACAGGGAGGAAGCCAACTTCCCATTTCATTCTGATATATTTTAGACAGGCAGAAACTCAATTCACTTGCTCAGACTCCAGATAAGTAAGTAAAACAGTGAAGATAGAGAGTGCTTAATAAATATTTCGCCCGAGGGCATCCAGTATAATATTTTCTGCAAACATAGGACTTTATTTTTCCCCTAACAGGGGGTCTTGACTCCAACCAAGAGATTCCGTGAAGGTTTATGGAGGTAATTAGATATCAACGCTTGTGTTTTACAATTTGGTTTAGGCGCTGGGTCCTTCAGTAGTGGGCTAGCGCTGTCTGTGTGCCTGGCATCCATGCTTGCTCTCTGGCGCTCAGGGACACAACAAAAGAGCAGTAAAGAGTTTGGCCTGCAGGAATTAATGTTTTATAAGAATGTTAATAAGAAGAGAGCGGACAACAAGAGACAGCCAGTGCACAGATGCAGGCCTTTCACACACGTCAGTTAGGCCTCGCTAGAAATGACAACACAGCTCATTCGGGAGGCCAAGGCCTTTCCTTCCAAACTCTTCTTTCGAATGAAATCGGGATTTGGATCTCCAAGTAGGCAGGAATTACACTGGGGTTCCAGCGAGAACAAAGGCGTCCCAGGAAACGGGCATCTGAGACAGAGCCTTACCGAGGGAGGTGAGCAGCTGACACCTCCACACCACTTCCCATTAAATACCAGCTCATTTAAACATATCCCGTGGTGCCCTCCACATCTGGTGAGCGATTGCGGCTGGCAGATTTATTTCTAAAGCTCTCGCTCCCACCCACCCCCACGGTAGCCCCCATCACTGCCTGGCGGGGACCACTCCCTTTCTTTCACAAACCTGGTGTGATTTGCAAAGATAAGCCCGGCCAGATTTTGTTACTACCTAATTACTAGATGTTCCGTGTCTTCTAGCGAGGGGGAGGATTATTACCCACGCTTCCCTTTCATTGAAGCCATCATAAATTTAAACTGGCAAGAGTAAATCTGTCTACGGCGTGTCACTTACACCATAAGCCCCTGTGTTTGGGAGTGATAAAGGGTTCAAGCTAACCCTTGGCTGGTCTCTCTCTTCAAAGTCCCAGGGGTTACATTTTATGGAAGTATGATTAAAAAAAAAAAAAATAAGCTGCATTCTGGGTCACCAAAACATTTCAGGACTTAAGATGGAGAAGAAGAGGAAGAAAATAGTCCTCGGCACATCGTTATTTATTTATTTATTTAGAGCTACTTTCCTAAGGAGGCAAAGCTCCCCCTACCCCCAACACGGAGAACACAGGGAAAAGAAGTCTCAGCCACAAGCTGTAAATCTTGCCTTGACAGCTCCGAGAACCCTTTGTCTCTTCTCAGCACTTTCTCTTAGAAACGGTTAGTTGTTTATACAACTCCCGCACAAATATGTTGAAAACACAACCATGTTTTCAGATGTCTTTTTCGTCGATTGAATAGTCTAATGGCAATCAGAAAGAAACGCCATCTGATGTGTAAATTGAAATTCTAACCGAAAGAGGCATGGCCAGATTTCCAATACGCGTTAACTACAGTCCTTCCCTTTCTGCAATTACGCTGCTAATGTCTGCATTGAATTCCCTAATTTCTCATTATAAAACAATTGGATTTCATCTCGCGGCCTTTAACTGCATTGTTTCCCCTGCAAGAATAACTGTGCTTTCCTCTCGGTGAGACTTTGAAGTTGTTGAATTACAAATCAATAAAGGTCATGCCATTCAGATTTCATCAATTATTATTCCATCTCTGAGTGAAATCAATGGGGAGCCTAAGGTATAATTGTAAAATCACTCTATATTGCTCTAAACAGTCCCCCCAAAACAAGTCCCTGTGAGCACACATGTGGAAGGATCTAGAAAAACCAATGAAGCCAGGTTGTGCACACTCATGCTTCTCATAGTGAGACTGGTCAAAATTAGTATTTTTAAAACTTATTTTTGTCTGTGTGTGTGTGTGTGTGTGTGTGTGTGTGTGTGTGTGTGTGTGTGAGTGTGGATGTGTGTTAATGTGTGAAAGAGAGAGAAAGTGGGGGAGAAGGAGAGGGAGGGAGAGAGGTTGTTAAGTATCTGCAGAGACCAGAAGAGGATGTCGGAGCCTCTGCAGTTGGAGTCAGAGATGGTTGAGAGCCACCCGGCCCGGGGGCCAGGAACCGAAATTGTGTTCTCTGTACAAGCTTTTAAAAGCCAAGCCCTCTCTCCAGCCTCAAGTCAAAATTAGTTTCAGTTGGAGTCTTGGAGAGAATTTCACATGGGGTCAACAAAGGGACAGGTGGGAAATATCAAATCAAATTCAAACCCACCTGTGGGACTCGGACGACACCACGACGACACGGGCAGGGGCTGAGCGACACAGAACGTCCTGCAGGAGCTGGACAAGGTAGAAGTGTCCCAGGTGATTCACCTGGAAGGTCGTCTCCAGGCCATCTTTTGTGAGGCTCCAGGGCAAGCCAAAACCCGCCGCATTACACACAAGCACATGCAGAGACCTGCACGGTGAAACAGACGACATCAGGCACAAACTGACGGTCGGAAATGTGGCACCACCATCCACTTAGAGTCAGCCCGCTTCTCAGGGTCTTCAAGATGCCAGTCAGTGAGCAATGAGACATGTCAGGACGTCACGTCACTCTGAATGATTCAGTACCTCGGGGTGCCAGCAACAACAAGTTCCCAGGACATACGACAGCCATACCCCAGAACCATATGGGGTAGATCAGGAGGAGGGTGGCTTGCCGGAGTTGGAACACACTGTCTCTAGTCAACTCTGCTTTCTAACAGAAACAGTTGCCAGCACCTTTATGTTCAACCAAAATAGCCCACCAAATATACATGAGGAGTCTGTTCGCTTCCTTTCTTTATGAAGAAGACTACTACAAGAAAGGCTGACACTGTGGCCAAAGGCTTATTGGGTACTGAATAAATGTATCAAAGGGAATAAGTCCTGTTTATAGACGGTCACATTATTGGAATACATTCCTCTCAGGGTTGGAGGCCTAACTGGGTGGAATGCTTACCTAGCATGAACTTCGACTCATGTTCTAGCCCCAGCCCCACATAAACCAAGCATGTATGTAACCCTAACACTCCAGAGGTGGAGGCCGAGGAGCAGGCGTTTGGGGTCATCTTTGACTATGAAGAGAGTTCCAAGCTAGTTTTGGCTACACACATACACATATTAAATCTGAACCGCTTAGAAATGAGCCTGGGGATAAGTAAAAAGAGGTGTGCTATAAACGAAATTTTAGCAATCAAAGTAACCCTTTCATCTGATTGAATCCCTAAATGCCAATAAATAAATTTTATTTAAAAGGAGTCCTAATGAACAGATGCTACACAATGACATCTCTTCAAGGCTCCCTGTTTTATTTGTAATTGAAACATAAAAGCAACAATCCAGAAGTTCACTAAATTGGGGAAACGGTCCTGTGGAGAGGATGTATTCAAATGCAAAGCCAACAGCACAATAATAAGTAAACCCATTTTGTTTTAGAGTATATTATGAAGCAAAATATATTATAGAATCACATACACACCAATGGAGGGACAGAAGGATGAATGGGAAAACTGAGAAAAGTGAAGGATTGGGGACAACCAGGAGAATGAGGAGGAGGTTCCTACAGTCACCACCAGCCCAAGAGTCATCCTGTACACATGGTTCCTTGGCTCCTGGAACCATGAGAGGCTATGAATGTTTGTTGCTGTAAGGCACCCACATTGCGGTAATATACCTTAGGAAACCGACAGTTCCCAAGACACTCACCTAAGGGTCCAAGTATGCCCTTAAAGTTCAGTCACAATTACACAGATGAGCAGAACTTTACTAAAACTAGCTGTGAACCAGGAGCCACCCAGGCATGGTCGCCAAAAGGAGAACAGATAAATACACAACAGTGAATTCAGAGTCTCCAGACCTTCCGAGGTGAACTGAAAAGGCAGGGAACAAAGGTCGACATGTGTGATTATGTGTGTCATAAAGCTTTCTCCACAAGAAAAACACCTACAAAGGTGTGGTTGCTCACACCTGCCATCGAAGCACCGAGGCTGAGGCTAGTGCCAACATGGGCCACACGGTGAACTCTAGGCCAGCCTGGCATACACAGAGCAACCCTATCTGAAAAAAAAACAAAAAAAACCCAAACCAAGGCTGTCAAAATGGCTCAGTGGACAAAAACACCTGCCACCAATTCAGATAACCTGAGTCTGATCCCCAGGACCCACTTGGTGGAAAGATCACTCCTGCAAGCTGACTTCCCACCTCCACACATCAGCCTTGGTGCATGTATGCTTACATGCACACAAGCACACAGACATATATGCACACATATACACACTCACCCCCCTACATCTGAGTGAACACACAGCAACAAATTAATGCATGTGAAAATAACATAAAATCAAAACAAGAGCAAGAAAAGTGGGATCTGTCCATATGTAGTCACTAGTAAAAAAAAAAAAAAAGTAGAAAAACATAGTGGTAGGCATTGTTTTTACATTTTGTGTTTTACATTGTTTTTTTTTCCTTCTAATTGTGAGATGTAATTCACATCCCATGCTACTAATCTGAAGCACCTAGTATGTTCCGAGTTGAATATATATGGGTCGTGTTTCATCACCATATTCCAACTTCACAGCAATTGCAACTACAAAAGTAACTCATTAGCTGTCAACAACGGCATGGCACCCATCCCATATGCAACGAATACACTTTCTATAGATTTGTCTGACACGATCATCTCTTTCACGTAAGACGATGTGTGGTCCTTTATGACTGTGTTCCTTGCTTTGGCATAATGTCTCAAGGCTTCATGCTGTACAAAGAAATCGGCAGTGCCCACCCTGCTAAGCCTGAGAGCGCTCTGCTGTATGCTCAGATGGCATTGTTTTCATCCCTTCACCTTTGATGGCCATGTGGGTTGCCCATAGTGTAGGGCTAATGTGCATATCGCTGCTGCGGACACTGCTTTGCCAGTTCTTTGGGAGATGCATTGGTTTATTTCTCTTGGGTACGTACTTGCAAATGGGATTCGCTGGCTAACGCTGTGTTAACTTCTGAGGAAGAATCAAACTTGAGGGCAAGGTGGGACACACCACTCACATCCCAACCAGACACGCATCTTATGTCATCAACTGTCTTTTCTTTCTTTCTTATTTTTCTGAGATTATAATATAATTACAACATTTCCTCCCTTTCCTTTCTAATCTCCAAGCCCTCCCATACGTTCTTTCTTGTTCCTTCTCAAATTCATGGTCTCTTTTCCCATTAATTGCTGTTACACACACACACACACACACACACACACACACACACACACACACACA